GAAGCTGCACAAGTGTTTCACTTGCAAACCCTACACCATAAACTGACGCACAGGATCGTGCTTTTCGGCACAAGGGTTCTCGGCTCTCTGCTGAGAGCTTGTTACTTTGGTTCGTATCAGTGATAAAGTAGCCAGTGCTGCGATACGAAGGATCGAGTAACAAGCGAATCTTCGCGTGCCAGACTGCATCTTTGCTGGTTTCGTGGGTGGCAAAAGATGCTTCTGTCAACCCTGAGAAACAGAAACAGAGAGACAAAGAACAACAGAGAGCGAGAGACAGAGAGGGAGACAACGAGGGAGCGAACACTTACAAACCCTAATGTCCCAAGCAACGGCTAATTCGCATGATGATCATTTAATATGGTGAAACCAAGGCAACACCAGGTAATGCGAGAACAATAGCATGAACTGCGGGCAGCAGTGGCCGCACGAATGTAGGGCTGGACTGCAGGGGAACTGCAGGCTGCAGGAGCGACAGGAATCCACACGGCGGGGACTGTCGGCGGACCGCAGGCCGCGGAGCGTAGGACTGAAAATCTGAGACCTGTAAACTGAAGGAGGTGCATAGAAGGAAGCAATGGGGAATGCAACACCCTAAAAACTGCGCAGACATCGTTTCGCGGGAACCAATGTTCAGAATGTGAGTAGCCTTGCAGTTTCGGGGGAAGCAATGACCGCATGTGTTGTCGTCAGGACTGCTACCAGCTACCATTTTCCGATTGTCAAACGACAACAGCATTTAGTTGGACTCCCTGGGCAGGAAATTATCGAACCAACAGCAGGAGCTGCCTCAGTCACACAGAAAAGTTGAGACAGTTGACCTTAAAGCCCAAAGTCAGCAGACAAGGACTGCATGCACGAAAAAGATTCAAACACCTCCGACACTCTATTTCGGGGCATGTTGGGGTTCAGGGTCCGGGAAGCCCTCGAAAGTTGAAATCCCAACAAAAGCAACATCCATAGGCTGTTAGTAACTCTAGTAGGGATCCAGAGTTCGTAATGCGCCCAGCCCCACTTCAACCACAAGTAGAATACTTTCCTGTAGGGTCGTGATCTTTTGAAAACAACTTACAACTAACACAGAATGTATCGGGATCCTACACAGGAGTCAACTTGTTTGAGATAGGATGCAGACTCCGAGCAATTGTCCAAGGCTCCGACAAGCGTCCTTGCACGTTGCCGGGCAGCTCTTGTCGCAGGATGTGGTGGAGCCCATGGTCAATAATTACAGAGCCCCTATTGTGAGCAATACTACCATAAGTTCTAGTAGGTTGAGCTGATGTCCATGCCTAGTTCCGATTGCTGCCTGAATCTCGACAATAAGTGCTAATATTACAAGCGTTCTTGCCCATCCCTGCCATGCTGCAGGATGAACAGAAGAGTGGAATGGGGTTTTGCTTCTCAAAGGCCTGAGTCAGGGCATGTTCTAAGTCACAGGGTGGCCGTGGCACTCGTGGTGGGTGGCATTGAAACTACGCCGTGTCTTCTCGTCCTGAAGCCGCATGCACATAGCGCGGGGTTGACTAAACCCTCAACTCTAAACGCTAAAACCCTCAGCCCTGCTCCCTGCGTCCTAAACTCTGAACTCTCAACCCTAAGCCCTAGCTTCTTGATCTGGGCTTCAAGCTTCGGGGTCTTCAAGTTTAGGGTCAACCGCATAAACCGCAAAGCCCAAAGCCTCAAAGAACCACAACATGAAGATCTGCAGCAATGCGGCCTTCACGAAACCATTTCAACCAGCCATTCTGGAGGTGTGACTTGTAATTGTAACTCGCGTCCTATGTCACGTGATGAAGCCCAGCGATGAGCAACCTTGCATGCGGCCATCTAGCCATCTAGTGTAGCGTTAGTTCATGTTGCTGGCTGCCGTTAGAGCATAGCCTAAAAGAATATCTTATTTAAGGCTGTGGGCCCACAGACCGGACTTCACAAGACTCCGGGGCCAGTCTGGGCCTTCCGGACAGGATCAAAACAGGGGCCGAATAGAATAGGGCTTAGGGTTATGGTATGGCACAAGAAGGTAGGGACTGTGTGCAAATCCTAATTTACATACTGCCCAAAACCCTAACCCCGTTGCAAAAAGCACTTGGAACATCTGATTAGCTATACTGCTCCTGTATGGAGACGTACTATAATGTACATTAATACCCCAATCATTCTGTTCATGCAGGCCCCTAGGGTGTGCTATCCCGAACCCAACAATGCGAAACCGACTGTCCAGGGATCTTTGGGCCTTTGAACACCGGCGCCAAACACAAGCTGAGGGTTTAGGGTTTGGGGTCTAGGGTTTAAGGTCGAGTTTGGAACTTGTGTTGGGCTAGGCCTCGGTTTTGGCTCGGGATTAGTTCAGGGCTCAGCTTGGTTCAGGTTTCAGGGGTAGGCTTCGAGGTCCCTGGCATCGTGAAGCTTTGAGGGCTGCCGATGATGCCAGCATTTGCAGTGTAGGGTTGAGGGTTTAGGGTTTAGGGTGTAGGGTTGAGGATAAAGTTGAGGAGGCCCTAAAACTTCAACCCGAAACCCACAGCCCTTCAGTCCTAAACTGTGAACTCTCCACACTCACCGTGAAGATGTGAGCACGGCCGTGTTCATGGTCGCAGGGCGGGTCGAGGTCTGATCTGGCGGGGCAGGCCTTTGAACATGAGAGGTCCCATGGTATGGTCTAGAATATAGACAGCCGATCAAGAATCCCCATAGCCTTACCACCCCAAGTACACAAAGTATGCATGCCTTTTGGGCTTCAGGTCTAGAAGTTTTCGTCATTAGCACGAGGCTGCGGGGCAGTGGGGTTTCAGGATGAGGGGTGTGCACGTTTTCCTATACAGGGATTAGATACCAATATCGGGAATCCTTTTGGCAACAGGAATAATCACGCAAGCAGGCTGACAAAACCTTCCGCGGGCCAAGGATGCCAATCCACACCCTGAACATCCCTGTTCATGCCCAAAAAGAACCGCTCTTGAATTTAAGGACGCAGGGCCCTGTCTTGATACAGAAACGCCGAAACCCTGAGCCCTTTCAAAAGGTCCTATGCCGAGGAAACTCTCCAGTGTGCTGTTCTTCGGGCACTGTAAAGATTCGGGGAGCTTTTGGGCTTTAGGGTTAGCGGCTTGCCGGATCTGGGCCTCAACGGGACCTCCCAAAGAACTCTTGCCCCGACAGGTTCTCCTTCAATCAAAACCAGATTCCGGTCCGGACCAAGGCGACGTGGCACGCTGCGGGAATATGAAAGAAAACCCTGGCGAAGAAGCACGTATGGTCGTTACTTTCGCATGTAAGGTTATATGCAGAGTCGAAACGCAGGGCCTTTTCCCGTTCTGCCGGGCTTCCTTCTGAAAACCTTGTTTAATTTTTAGTTGGAGTGACCACTGACAAGAACCAACCGTAAGGGAGCAGATATGCAAGAAGAGCTTAGTATTGAGGGCATAGGCTTGAAGGGCCCATGCTTTAGGATGTAGGGCTGTGAGGATTCAAGGTTCGCAAGTTTTGAAGAGCGCGTGTCCCGGCTGACGAAGAGGTCCGATTAGTTGAAGAAGCCGTCGCTTGTCAAGCCAATCGGAGCATGAAGAGTCGACTTTGCACAAACGGTCCAGGGTGTAGGTTTTAGGGTTGGAATAAGAGGTTAGGTGAAGTAGATGATGAGAGTCTCGTGTCCGGAGTTTGCGCCATGGTTCCTCCTGGTAGCATCACGACCAGGGCAAGCAATATGCGCCCTGTCAAGACCAGCTTTACCAAACAAGATATGCGCTGATTCAGAGAACCCTTCAATGCAGTGACGACGCCGTTCTCATCCCGCCAAGTGCACGATCTTCAGAAGAAAAAGGCTTGTCATATCACGCCGAATAATCCTGATTACGGCTTACGGCGTAGACCCTAATTAAACACTAT